TTCCTTCTGCCTATAAGTCTCATTTTGTATAGCTTCTTGGGGCTCCTTTCTATCTGCTAGATTGGATGCCTGGTTTTAATCAATTTTTGCTCAAATAAACTGTCAAAATTTTTAATATGTCTCAGTTTAACTTTTAACAAATCTCTTTGCCTTTCCTGACCAATTTAAAACATAGCTTTTCCTTAACTCTGTTTTATCTTATTCGATACAGCCTAGCATCTTCATAATTTATTTTTTTTTATTTTTTTTTAACGTTTATTTATTTTTGAGACAGAGAGAGACAGAGCATGAACAGGGGAGGGTCAGAGAGAGAGGGAGACACAGAATCTGAAACAGGCTCCAGGCTCTGAGCCGTCAGCACAGAGCCTGATGCGGGGCTTGAACTCATGGACCGCGAGATCATGACCTGAGCCGAAGTCGGAGGCTTAACCGACTGAGCCACCCAGGCGCCCCTAGCATCTTCATAATTTAAAGTAGTCTATACTAGTTAAAACCAATCCTGAATGAGTAGACTATTTTACATACAGTTTTTTATCTATTAGCTAATTTCTTAAAGTTGAGAGAAATAATATTCATTAATTAAGATATTAATAATTATGAAATAGTATACAATGAAATGTAGGTCTACTTTCTAACAGGCCTCTGCTCCAAAGGAGATTAGTTGTCCTCTGTGCAGCTTTCCCAGAAATTGTTAATAAGTACTTATAAAGTGACTGAATAAACAAGTTTTTAATTGAATGTTTACTATACTCTAATTCTCTTTCTCTTTTTTTTTAAGTTTATTTATTTATTTTTTAGAGAGAGTACGCAGCCATGTGTGCACGCATGAGCAGGGGTGGGGCAGAAAGAGAGGGAGATGGAGAATCCCAAGCAGGCTAGGTGTTGTCAGCCTGGAGCCCCATGTGGGGCTGGAACCCACTAACCTTGAGATCATGTCCTGAGTCAAAATCAAGAGTCAGACACTTAACCCACTGAGCCACCTAGGCACCCTTCTAAGTCTCTTTCTAGATGCACAGGTAAAGTATAAACAAAAATGTTGCTAACCACTAGTTAGAGCTGACACTCTAGTGAGAAGAAACAAACAATACATACATAAATCAATACTTATATTATTTCTGAAAGTTTTAAGTAACCTTTTAAAAGAAGAATAAAGAAAGAGAAGTAGCAGACAAGAGAGTTGTTATTTTATACAAAGTTCTGAGAAGGTGACATCTGAGCAGATACCAAATCTAAATGAAGAAGGAAAACATAGATATCTAGGGTAAGAGCCTACCAGACAGAGAACAGCCAGTGCAAAGGCCTTCAGAGAGAGGGAGCCTGACTACTATTCAAGAAACTGTCAAGAGACCAGTGTGCCTGGAGTGAAAACAGCAAAACAGAGAGTGGTAGGGGGTAAGGCCAGAGGGGTAGCAAGGGGCAGTATCATGTCAGGGAGATAGCTGAGACTGTAATCTCATTCTGAGAAAAATTGGGGTTGGGGGTGGCCCTGGGGGTCTTAAGAGAGAATTAATATGACCTAACTTATATTTGTAAAAGATCACTCAAATTGCTGTGTTGTGAATAGGCTGGCAGTGGGGGTGGGCAAAGCTAGAAACATGGAGATGAGTTCAGTAAGAGATGATGGTATTTCGGACCAGATGGATAGCAGGAGTTGTAGTAAATGGCCATATTCTGGAATAGTCTCAAAGTAGCCCCAACAGAATTTTCAGAACACCAAATGTAGACTCTGAGAAAAAAAAGTTGAGCATGGTAACTCCATAGTTTGTGGTCCGGGTAACCACAAAGGGTGGAGCTGCCATTAACTGAGTTGTGGAAAACTGCAGATTCACCAGGTTTTGAGGGGAAGATCATGAATTTGGTATTAGACATTTTAATTTTGCTGTCCAAGCAAAAGTTTAATTTTGCTGTCCAATATTAGATGTCCAAGATGGGAGAAACTAAAGCAAATGTTTGCTAAAGACCAATTTATTAGAGAAGGGGAAATGACAACATCAGACAGAGAGAAATTAAGCCAGAAGGGGCAGGATCTAGAGCAAACATGGAGAGATTTTCAGAGTGGAGGACAGAGGATGTTCCCATAGTTACAATCTGGAGGATGAGGTAAATGGCACAGACAAGCAGGTGGGTAACCAGGTTGGCAGGAGTCAATGCAAAGTGTCTTCTAGCTGCTTCTATTTTCATAGTGAAATAGAAAAGAAAATCTTGTTTGAATAAATTAGGGAATCCCTTTTTATTCCCTTCCTTAAAACCTTCCATTAGATTCCCCTCACCATTGGAATAAGAGCCTAACATTTTATCATGGCCCACAAGACTTCACAGGACCTGGCCCCACATACCTCTCTCCATTGCCCAAAATGTTTCAGCCACAGGGGCCTTCTTTTTATGCCTCAGACATGTACAAGACAAACTTGTACAAGACTTGAGTTCTTTGACTCACTTGTCCCTCTATCTGAGACAAATAAAAGAGGTATCCTTACCCTCCCATGCATGGCTAATTCTTTTCATATAAGTCTCAACTCAAAAGTCCCCTCCCTAGGCTTTTCTTGAGCATCCCATCTAAAGTGACACCTCCTTGGGGCACCCGGGTAGCTCAGTGGGCTAAACGTCCCACTCTTGATTTTGGCTCAGGTCATGATCTCATCGTCTTGAGATCAAGCCCCGATGGGCATGGAGCCTTCTTAAGATTCTCTCTCTTCCTCTGCCCATCTCTCTTGAGCATGAGTGCTCTCTCTTTCAAAAAAAAAAAAAGTGGCACCTCCTCTTATCATAAGATCCTAGAACTACATCTGGCACATAGTAGATGTTCAATAAGTATTTCTTTATGAACATATTTGGAAAATTAAATGGAAAACTGCATGCAGAGCATACACCAGAGCACCTGACACATAGTAAATCTCATTAAATGTTAGCTGCTGTGATGATGGCAGCAAAGACTAGCATGGCCACAATCACGAGCACAACTCTGAAAGGCCAATCCTCCTCTGTGCTCTTGAACCACCCCACTTTGTGTTGTCAGAGATTTTCTCTCATTAATTGCATGTCCCTTCTTCCTCTTTATAGGCTCCTTCCCTTCAGCTAAATATGTGCAATATTTCACCACCATTTTTTAAAAAGCAATTAAAATATATTTTTCTTAACTCTGTCTTATTAGGTGCAGCCAAGTATCATCAGGGTTTAGTCCTTAAAAAAAGAGTAATCTAGGGGCACCTGGGTGGCTCAGTCAGTTAAGTGTCCAACTTCAGCTCAGGTCATGATCTCATGGTCCATGGGTTTGAGGCCCATGTCAGGTTCTGTGCTGACAGCTCAGAGCCTGGAGTCTGTTTCGGATTCTGTGTGTGTGTGTGTGTGTGTGTGTGTGTGTGTGTCCGCGCGCGCACATCTGCCCCTCCCCACCCACTCTCTCAAAAATAAACATTAAAAAAAAGATTTTAAAAAAATAAAAAATAAAAAAAGAGTAACCTATACTAGCTCACAGCTGAATGTTCAAACTCATTTTTATTTACTGTTTTTTTTCCATTAACTAGTTTTTCCAAGTTTAACAACTAGATATTTGCATGGTTAAAATATTATTAATTATAAAATATTACACAGTGGAAGGTAGATTTACTATCTAACTCATCCTCCCTCTCTAAGGAAATTAGGTATATTCTGTGTATCTTTCCAGAAATTATGTATGCATATCTAGACACATAAATATCCTTTGAAAATATCATAGAAGATCATATTGTGTACACAATTCCACACCTTGGGTTTCTATCAGTTAATGAAACACCTTGAACAGCTTTCTAAAGTACATATTAAGAGCTATATCATTCTTTTTACCAGCTACATAGCATTTCATTTTATTGATAATATTCCATCCATTTAACTAGTCTCAGATTTATTATTTATTGGCACTTAATGTGTTTTCAGCCATTTGCTATTGTAAGCAATCCTGCAACCCATATACATATATCCTTGCACAGTCCTTCAAATACATGTATAAACAAATTCTTAAAAGCAGAATTGCCTGTAAAAAGGGCATAAATATCTTCCACTTTTTATTGATATTGCCAAATTTACTCCCAAAACAGTTTTATTACATCACTAGAATTTTCTACTCCTCTAAATAATAAACAATTATTAGTAACTTCTGGTCATATTTTTGGTGAGGGAAAGAGAATAATTCCTGAAGCTCCTTAAACCAACTATGAAAGGGAATGAAATCACTCTTAAAGAAAATGTTAACACTTTACTATGATACATATTTTTTAAAAAGAAAATAGCACTATTTCCAGGAAAGAATTATTTAGAATTACTTTCCCACTCTTGCTAATAAATGTTCACCGTATTACTCAAAGAGTTTTTCCAGTGTTCAATAATTCTCTTTCCAAAACAGCTCCTCTTAGGAACTCACAGCCATTGGAAATAGGAGTTTAAAGAAAAAGGAAAATGTAAAACGTAAAACTCAGAGTTTCTAAAGAGCACAATAAGATTCTTACGTTTCGGGGCAGCGAAGTGACTTTCAATTCTTGTCTTTTAAGGTGTTTTTAATTTTAAAAAGCTGTTAGGAGATTCTTAATTCTGTTGGTGGATTTAAAGGTCTTAACTCTTTGTGAAAAAAAAAGTATCTGCCTTATTTTCCTACACACGGCAAACTCTTTAGGGGTGAGGTTTGTAAACAGCTGCCTACATTTCAGTGACTTTTAGCAGATAATAGTTCTCTCCGCTGCAGCCAAAACAGCCGCTCGCCGCCTGCTTCCCCCATCTCCTCTCTGTGACTCCCTACCCTACTCTCTTCCAGATCCTTTATTCCCCCCTCCACCTTTTATCCGTGGACGCGCCGCCGGCCTCGCGCCCCCCGCGCCGAGTGCAGTGGAACAACCCATGACGTCACGAGGCCGCGGCTCAATCAGACGCGGAGTTTGGGAAATTTTAAACTTAAAGGCGGGGCGGCCGGTGCTCTCAGAAGAAGGGACGCTGAACAACTGTGCCAGTTCCCTGGGATCTAGCCTGGCAGGATGGCGGAGGAAGGGGCTGTCGCGGTGTGCGTGCGGGTCCGGCCGCTCAACAGCAGGTAGGTGGGCCAGACCGAGACCGGGTCCCAGCTGCGGCCTCTGGCGCGGGCCTGAGCCCCAGAGTGAGTCCTCGCTGCTCCTTCCTGCTGCCTGGTATCTCGGCCTCTTACCCCCTTTGTGCCACGGTGTCCTTATCTGGTAGTGGCCAAGAGGAAGGATCGGAAGATCTAGAAGACAATTTCCAGCTGTAGGAGTCTTTCAGATGTTAACTCAGGCTCGCCAACGTTAAAGACCTCAACGCCAGCCCTGCACTGCCTCTCCCCGTATGCGCTTCCCCACCCCACCCCACCCCACTCCTTAAAGGAAGTCGTATCGGAAAGGTTTTTATTTGTACTCATCTGTCATTTTGCACTTAACTGCCTCTCCCTTATTACTGTGTACTTCTTGAGAGCAAGGACTAGTCTGCCTTGTTGCATTGTATTCAAAGGCACTCAAGACTTCAGTCAATGACTGAATTCAACATTCAGAACGTTGAATGGCTGATATTTATCAATACTGATTTTTTTTTTTTAGTACAGTGTACTCTACTACACATCCTTGCCCCTGTGGATCTACATTCTAGTGGGCAGACAGAAAATAAAGTAAAAAATACAGAATGTTAAGTTGACATAATGTTACAGGAGTCATGCTACAGAGAAAAAAAGAAGGGGGGTGGGGAATGAAGTCTTTGCTTCTCTCTGATCTGTGGCCCTCACTCCAGAATACTAACATATTTTGTGTTTGAGAAATATTTGTTAAATATCACTAGGTGTTAATAAATGAGGAATTTCCTATTTTTAAATATCTCATTACTTAATGCATTAGAAGACCATTATGTTACAATTACAATATTTAATCTCTTATTTTTGAAAGGGACTGATATGCAGTCAGAATTGATATGCAGTTAGGCATGTATAGGAACTTAGAGCAAGATGACGTTGAAGAGAGAAATAAACATGTTCCAGATCTAGTATGCCATGTTAAGAATTTCAGATGTTTTTTAAAAGTTGTGAGCAAGAGTGACATAATCAGAGTTGCATTTTGAATGTATCTTTTCAGCAACCAGTACTAGGTAGGAGGGTAGAAATGAAGAACTTCACCAGGAAACTCCCATGAGAAGGCAGGAGTTAAAAGTCTTGGTCCACTTAAAAGTCTTGGCTCCTCAAAGGCAGATTTTCCATGTTTCTCATATATAGTATAAGTCAATACTACTATTTTTTTTAAGTTTACTTATTTTGAAAAAGAGAGAGAGAGCAGGAGGAGCAGAGACAGAGGGAAAGAGAAAGAATCCCAGGCAGGCTCCATACCAACAGCCCAGAGCCTGACATGGGGCTCAAACTCACAAAACATGAGACCGTGGCCTGAGCCGAAACCAAGAGTCCGACACTTAACTGACTGAGCCACCCAGGTTCCCCAATACTATCTTTTAAAATATTCTTCAGAAGAGGCACCTGGGTGGCTCAGTCAGATAAGCGTCGGACTCCAGATCAGGTTATGATCTTACAGTTGGTGAGTTTGGGGCTCATGTCAGGCTTTGTGACAGCTCAGAGCCTGGAGCCTGCTTGGGATTCTGTCTCTTTCTCTCTCCACCCATCCCCTGCTTACACTCTGTCTCTCCCTCTCAAAAATAAATAAACATTTAAAAATAAATAAATTTATTTATTAACTAAAATAAAATATTTTTCAGAAGACAGAATCTTTTAAATTATCTGCCATATGACATGAATTCCATGACCAGTTTTACTAAAATGCAGTGTTTTTATTCTTTCAGAGAAGAAGCTCTTGGAGGAGATACCCAAATTTACTGGAAAACTGACAATAATGCTATTTATCAAGTTGATGGCAGTAAATCCTTCAATTTTGGTAAGCTTATAATAGCATCAAAAGTTAATATATTATCCTTTTCCTATAAGGACTACAAAAGGCTTATCCATAATACTGGATTTGTCATTAAAGATCAGACGAGGCCTTGTGTAAACTGTATTAGTAAAAACTCAAAAATTGTTCATCCATCATGTATGATAAATAAGATAATAAATTGCTCTTTAAAATGCAGTTATGTGTGGAACCTGAGAAACTTAACAGAAGACCATGGGGGAACGGAAAGTGAAAAAAATAGTTACAGAGAGGGAGGGAGGCAAACCATAAGAGACTCTTAAATACAGAGAACAAACTGAGGCTTGATGGGGGAAGGGGAAATAGGTGATGGGCATTGAGGAGGGCACTTGTTGGGATGAGCACTGGGTGTTGTATGTAAGCAATGAACCACGGGAATCTACCCCAAAACCAAGAGCACACTATATGTTAGGCAATTTGACAATAAATTATATTTTTAAAAATGCAGTTATAGTCATAGTGCCTCAAGGTTGAAACTAACATTTTTTCCTCTTATTCATTAGTGTATTTGTGGCCTAAAACCCCATAAGCCTAAAATATGTTGCTTGGTATCAAGTCATCTTTAAGATCTTTGATTTTAGTATATACTTTCCACAATTATTTTTAAGAAAATTCTTTAAAGAATAAGTAGTGAAGATATTCCTTCTTTGTCTGCTAAAATACAGCAAAGACCTACCCCTGCTTTTGTGGAACTTCTCATATGATGAGAGAGAGGCTTTAAACAAGTAATTACATTTGTGACAGCATAAGCTTTGTGAGATTTACAGTGGGACATAACTAGTCTAGGTTTCTAAAAGGGTACCACCGACACTGGGGCAGAAGGTCATGGAGGCCCTGAACGTTGACTCAGGTGATTTGTATATTGGTTTAATATGGGTCTACTGCTGACACTGTGCCAGATACAGTTTTCAGCATGTCATATTTATTTTTTTTTAAATTTTTTTTTTTTCAACGTTTATTTATTTTTTTTGGGACAGAGAGAGACAGAGCATGAACGGGGGAGGGTCAGAGAGAGAGGGAGACACAGAATCGGAAACAGGCTCCAGGCTCTGAGCCATCAGCCCAGAGCCCGACGCGGGGCTCGAACTCACGGACCGCGAGATCGTGACCTGGCTGAAGTCGGACGCTTAACCGACTGCGCCACCCAGGCGCCCCCAGCATGTCATATTTATTAACTCATTTAATCCTCATAACAAGCTTATGTGGTAGGTGTGCCTTTCCATTTCAGAGTAACTGAAATAAGCCTAGAGTCACACAGCTAGCAAATGGAAGAATCAGACTCACTAGCATGCTGTCACTTAGGCACCTCAGGGCAACAGTGAGGCCCTCTCAACAACTCTGGGAGTAAGAATGGTTAGGATGTTGAACTAGCATTAAGCTAGAAAGCCATCATAAAAGGTTTTGGAGCAAAGATGTAAAGAAGAGAAAACAATTTCTGGTAAAGGACTTGTTTTAGAGTATTAACATAATTTTTAAAAAGGTAGTACAATAAATGCCAGAGATTATAAAACCAAGAGAGAGGGATGCACAGGTATTCAGACTCATGATCTATGGGTTCTCTGTAGCCATGTATGCCCATCGTGGATTTGGACTTATCCACTTATCTAAAGCAAATGGCATTAAGATTTGAATTATCCTGCCATCTGTCCTTGCTCTGATATCATAACCCCTAAGCAGCCTTCAGATGGCACTTTGATTTTCCATAGAGCTCTGCCAACAGGGCAAATGTGTTGCCGTGATGCAAACCATGTGATCACTGAATTTCTCATTGCACGTGGATGCATTTCCCTCCTGATTTAGAAATGCATTTCTTGTGAGCTTTTTAATATGAGTCTACCATTGAAAGAGTAGTCCATTTTTAATGTGCTAATTATGCTAACAAAATTAGCAGAGAACCACAGCCTAGACTAGTGAATTCATCAGTACAAATGTACTCTAAACCCAGCCTCCTTAAGCAGCCAGCCAACTGGTCATTCCTTGTAACATTTCAGCTTTGTTAGGTCTCTTCTTCCATATGTGTGCATTTCTTATTTTAGTTTGAGCTAGGTCTTCTTGCTAAATATGTTATAAACCTTAAAATTTCTCAGTAGTAATAGTTCATATTTCCTAAGTATTGACTATAGGTTCACAATAATTCTATGAGGAAGAGAATTCATATCCATTTTACAGATTGGGTAATTGAGGCACAAAGGCATCAACCACCTTACCCGAAGTCACGCAGCTTATAAATGGTGGAACCAGATTTGCAGAGTCTGATTCGATAACCCTGTATTCAGCCACTGTGCCCTGCTGACTCTTAAAAGCACATAGAATAGCTGAGAAGTCTGACTTGTATTTTTTCTGTGTGAAGACCAACACATCTTACCTTATAGAGAAATATTTTTTCAGAGGACCAATAAGGTGAAGAGAATATTGTGTCTTAAATATTTTATCTTATCATATCCTGACCATTTTATTTCTTTGGACAACTACTAAGAATGAAAACAAAGTTGGTTTGTTTGATTTAACTTCTGTATATGTGTTTTTTTCTTTTTAGATCGCGTCTTTCATAGTAATGAAACTACTAAAAATGTGTATGAAGAAATAGCAGTACCAATCATAGATTCTGCCATACAAGGCTACAATGGTTTGTATTCATTGTAGAAATATTTTGGTATTGGTTCTCTGTTCAAGTATTGATAGTTTCACATCTTACAGATTCATTTTTAATCTTTGCATGTGTGTGTGTGTTTTGGTTTTACAGGTACCATATTTGCCTATGGGCAGACTGCTTCAGGAAAAACATATACCATGATGGGTTCAGAGGATTATTTGGGAGTAATACCCAGGGCAATTCATGACATTTTCCAAAAAATTAAAAAGGTAAATAACTTAGGTAAATTTCTGGTACATAAAGGGAAAAGTAGTAATAGTAGGATGAAAACCTTAATATATTTTCTTATAATGATGAAAGGAAGTAGATTTACAGTTATCTCTTAATTAGCCATGGGTAAAGAAGGCATAACAGATTCATTTATTTCCCCACAAACTTACTGTGTAGAGCTTAAAGTTCTTTCATTCTTTTCCTTGAATCCTGAAACAGTAATAATCACACCAAAAAGTGGGTGTTGAGGAACAGGAAAATCTTACCAGAATGGTTAGCTCCTCGTTGTCTTTGTTTAACTACCAGTGATTTTTTTTTTAATGTTTATTTATTTATTTTGAGACAGGGAATGAATGTGCGCAAGAGAGGGTAGGAGCAAAGAAAGAGAGAGAATCCCAAGCAGGCTCCACGCTGTTAGGACAGAGCCTGACAAGGGGCTCGATCTCATGAACTGTGAGCCGAAATCAAGAGTCAGATGCCCACCGACTGAGCCACCCAGGCTCCCTGCTACCAGTGCTTATAAAGGAACAGAGAGGGGTGCCTGGGTGGCTCAGTCAGTTAAGCGTCCAAGTTTGCCTCAGGTCATGATCTCATGGTTGGTGGGTTCTACCCCTGCATCTGGCTCTGTGCTGACAGCTCAGAGCCTGGAGCCTGCTTCAGATTCTGTCTTCCTCTCACTCTCTGCCCCTCCCCTGCTCATGCTTTCTCTCAAAAATAAATAGATGTTAAAAAAAATTTTTTTAATTAAAAAAAAAAAAAAAAAAAAAAAAAACAGAAAAGTAGATGTAGAAAAAAGACAAGGAAAGCAGAAGGCCAGAATAAGCAACCTAGTTAATTAAGAGCTGGTTTTAGGTTTGTTTTTTCATTACTGTTTTAATGATTTTTAATGTTCTTATTTGAACATCCATTGGTAGGTTTTATTTTGAGTTCAGAGAGTTGGACCAGGCACTCTCCTCTTCTAATTTTTTGATACTATACTTTCCATTATTACTGAAACATGTTTTTATATTTTTGTGTTTATTGTGGATATAAAACGACATGAGGTTTTGTTTGTTGTTTGCTTTACAAAGATAATTTCTCAGAATGTTTTAATATTTAATATTAGCACATAAGTATTCAGTATTAGGTTTTCATAAATGGATGACCTCTGATGTTTTACATATTTTTTTTCTGCTAGTTTCCTGACAGAGAATTTCTCTTACGTGTGTCTTACATGGAGATATACAATGAAACCATTACAGACTTACTCTGTGACACTCAAAAAATGAAGCCTTTAATAATTCGGGAAGACTTCAACGTGAGTAACAGAGTTAGTGTGGTTCTAAAAATAGTCTTGCTTATTGGGATTCATGTTCTTGAATATTTACCTTTAATTTCTGTATTTTTTAAACTGTCTCCTATTTGTATGGTTTATTTTTTTGTTTCTTAAGTGTTTATAGAGATAGCATATGAGCAACATGTATCGTTTTTAAACACTGACAACCGTGATATTTTGGTATAAGTGCCCCCTAAAAAAGAGCAAAATGGAAGTATCAGGTTAGAATTTGGTACAGAAATAAATTGTATATATCATTGTTTACTTGTTATTTTCATCCATTTTCCATTTGTAACTTCTGCATGTGAATTCTATACTAGCTCACACCTTCTTATGAGATGCAACTTTTTAGTGACTTCTCTATTCTTAACCTTGTTTCAGAGGAATGTATATGTGGCTGATCTCACAGAAGAAGTTGTTTATACATCAGAAATGGCTTTGAAGTGGATCACAAAAGGAGAGAGTAAGACTTTATACTGTATTTTTCCAAAACACTTGTAAAAACTATTCAGTTGAATGTATTTAGGCTTTAAATCACACTTTTCACTCTAAAAAAAGTCAATATTTTTCTTTGATTTTAATATACACACCTGAAATATGACTCCCTTTTCACAGAGAACAGACATTATGGAATTACAAAAATGAATCAAAGAAGCAGTCGTTCTCATACCATTTTTAGGATGGTAGGTAACTCTCTGTTTGGCCTTTCCAATTAGAAATGCACTGATTTTTTACAAGTTGTCTTTTCTGTCTAGATTTTGGAAAGTAGAGAGAAAGGGGAACCTTCCAATTGTGACGGATCCGTCAAGGTGTCCCATTTGGTGAGTATTGATGGACTATGATACCGTACCACATGGGCCAAACCATAATTTAATTTGGCTGCTGGATGTTTGGTTTCATAAGAACTGTTAACTGAACTAAACAGGCAAAAACACCTATAAATTGGTAGTTTAGTCTCATCTATAAACATAAGATTACAAGCTGAAACATCGGACGAATTCAGAGCATCTTTCTTCCTGTTATGTTATTGCTGTTGTCTCCTAAAATTTAGAGCGAAGCACTTTTCCTAACCAGAGTTCTTGGGGAAGAGTTTTTCCGTACACATTTAAGAGTATATTCTTGAAACGGGGGTGGGGGCGATTTGGTATTGTTGTTGCTGTTGTTTTGTCTCAGCCAAAAGAATTGAGACTCGTGAGATCAACAAAAACCTAACTGGGATGGTTAAAAAGTAAATCACATTATTCAAGTTCATTCTTAAATGAAATAAGGAAATTTTTTTTTTTTTAAACGTTTATTTATTTTTGAGACAGAGCATGAACGGGGGAGGGTCAGAGAGAGAGGGAGACACAGAATCTGAAACAGGCTCCAGGCTCCGAGCTGTCAGCACAGAGCCCGACGCGGGGCTCGAACTCACGGACCGCGAGATCATGACCTGAGCCGAAGTCGGCCGCTTAACCGACTGAGCCACCCAGGCGCCCCAGGAAGTGTTTTATATTATAAACATTGTGTTTACGACTGTAAATCCCTTGAAGGGAAGAAAGACATTTATTCATCTTGATAGCCCCAACACAGTACACGTAGTTTATATTGAGTACTTGTTTGCTGAATAGTGAATATAAGCATGATGTAAACATTTCTTTTTTCTACATAAGTAAGCCACCATTTCCTTCTTGTTGCACTGAAGAAGTTCTCTTTTTTTTGTGCTTGCTTCCTGTTCCTTGCCAATATTGCTTTATTTCTGTCTTCAGGGTCTAAATTTCTTAGCTTCATGTAGGATATGATTTAAGATTATTCTTGAAAACTTCAGGAAAAAAAAATAAAAAATCTCTAATTATTCACTTACAGATTTGAAAAATCAGAGTCTTAATAAATTCTAATTCTTGTTCACCTCAGTTATTTTACCGTACCAATATAAAATTTATTTTAGTAGATGGTCTTGCTTTAATTTAACAATAAAACACAAAACCTAACTTCTGTTTTGTTTTCTAAACCCAATCTGTGATATTTCACTATAATTTTAACTTTTAATAATTTCTTTAATACTCTCGACATGTTCAGTAATCAACTTGATGACTTTTTTATATACTTTGACACTCTATCGTCTAGGGAATATAGATACCATCTGGGGCCCCTGGGTGGCTCAGTCGGTTAAGCGGCCGACTTCGGCTCAGGGCATGATCTCTCGGTCCGTGAGTTCGAGCCCCGCGTCGGGCTCTGTGCTGACAGCTCGGAGCCTGGAGCCTGTTTCAGATTCTGTGTCTCCCTCTCTCTGAACCTCCCCTGTTCATGCTCTGTATCTGTCTCAAAAATAAATAAAATGTTAAAAAAAATTTAAAAAAAAAATATAGATACCATCTGGTCCAACCCTTCAGCCTTTCTACTTATTGTAAGTATCTTCTTGGAAAGAAGTCTTCCTCAAAAGATCATTTTCTGGCTCTGTTTTGTTTTGTTTTGTTCTGTTTTGTTTTTTTAGCGTCTTCTGATCTTTCTGGTTCATAATATCCAGGTCCTTTTGGCTCTGCTTCTTCTCTGTTCCCTTTGTGGGATTTCTTTCTCCTACTCTACTGTCTAAAACATAGGAGTGTTCTGCTGTCGCCTTTCTTGCTTCCTGCGTCTGCCCTCAGACATTCTGTTATCGTTTCTGTATTGATGACAGTCAAGTATTTTATCTAGAGTCTCTGAGCTCTAATTCATGTCTTTATAAAGATGATTATAATTGTGTGTCTCACTGTTACTTCAAACTTCAGTGTGTCTAAAAACAAAATTAATTTCTTTCTATCATAGTGAATATTCCTTTTTTCCAGTAGTACCAACATTATCCTGGTCACCCGAGGATAGGTTAGACCCGAGTCAGTTCCGACTCATCTTTTTCAGCCTTCCCCTTTTTGTGTCCATTCATCAGCATTTTGTTATTCAGCATTCCCATGGGCATCACATTCATTTAGGTCCTCATCTCCTGACCTGGCTCTATGACTCTGGTCTTCCTTTCTGCGGTCTGCTGGCAGATTTCTAATGTTACTAAGTACTGCTTTTGTTATGTTGCATCCTTTGGCAAATTCTGGCCACTCTCAACCAACCTAATTTGATTTCCCTCTACTCCACGTGAGCCCTCTCTCAGATAGATTGGTGCCTCTTGGTGTCTTTGAACACCAATATTTGTTCCCATTTTTATTCCTCAATTCATGCTGCCTTCATCACTACTTTGCCCCTTTATTATTTATCTAGGTCTTCTGTAGTAGATGCTACACCAGAAAGATTAGACTGAGTATTTTAGAGAAAGTAGTGTCTGAGATAGGACATAATTAAAGCAGGAGTGCATAATTACTGCCCATCCGTGAAAGTCTCTGACTTTGTTTTAATGCATTGAGAATATTTGCTGAGACTGCATCATGTTCTGAGCATAGTACCAGGCTCTGAGATTAGAAGAATAAGGAACACATCCCTCCATCACTTACTGTTTCCCATGCTACCTTACTAGTCCAAGCCACCATTCACCTCTTGCTCAGATTCCTACACGAGCCTAATGGGCTCCCTGCTGCCACTCTTGCCTCTCTCCAGTCCTTCCCCACCCACCCTTTTCACCCTTCTCTGCCAAAATGTCTGTCACTCTCTTGCTTAAACCGTTTCCCATCACATTTAGAAAATCCACACTTCTTGCTCTTGCTTACCATGCCCCATTCCATCTGACCCCTACCCACTTCTCTGACCCAGTCTTGTCCCAACTCCATTTCACCAACTCTGTTGTCCTTCCTATTTTTTGAACACACCAAGCTTATTTCTGCTTTGTGACTGGGTATACTAGCTGTTCTTTCTATCTGGAGTATGGCTCCCATAGGCTTTGCATGGCTGGGCCCCTCTTCTCTGTCTTTCCAGATTCTAGCTTAATGGGAGGACTTCCCTGCCATCAAGTCCAAAGAACCTATTCTGTACCTTCCTCTTTCCCCTTCCAGCACTCTATTTAAATTATCTCTAATGAGGCACCTGGGTGGCTCAGTCCCTTGAGCATCCAACTCTTGATCTCAACTCAGGTCATAATCTCACAGTTCGTGAGTTCAAGCCCTACTTCGGGCTCTGTACTGACAGCACAGAGCCTGCTTGGGATCCTCTCTCTGTCCCTCTCTCGCTCTCTCTCAAAATAAATAAATAAAACAACAAAAAATTATCTGCCATGATGCATTTCTTATCTTTTTCTTGTTTCTCACCAACTTTCTCCTCTCCCCAGCCTGCCCCATGTAGAATAAAAGTTCAATGAGAGCAGAGAACTTACATGTCTGATTCACTGCCATATCCCTAGTACCTAACAAACTGCCTGGAGCATGACAGGCAGTCACTTGTTGTCAACAATATTTGTGAAATGAAGGAGAGGCCCATGCTTTTAAAGATGCTACAGTGTAGGCAGAGACACAGATGACTAGCTCAACACAGTAAGTGCTGAAGAGTAAGTTGTATCTTTAAAACCCTTGAGTACACAATTGAAAGAGCAGATCAAGGTGTGAGAGAGGAAGGATAAAGATGGCAAAGTTTCACTAAGAAGGTAACAGTTGTCTTTGGTCCTGAGTAAAGAATAGGGACAGTCTAGAAAATTAGAACTAACTAAACAAAGGGAATGGCAAAAGATAGCTCTTGGAAGCATAGAAGTACATGAAGCATTTAGGGCATAGTGAATAGGTCAGCTAGAATTCAGAGTGAGTAATGTGTGGATTTAAAGCTGGAGGAACACAAGTGCCAGATTGTAAAGAATTATATTCACCATGGTAAGGTTTTGAACTTTGTGTAGTAAATAGAGAATCTATTCTGACAACATTATGGAGGCTATGTTATAAGGCAGGAACAAAGTATGCACATCAGTTTGACCCAAAAATGTTAAGGCCCTAACCGGTGGAGCGAGAGACCAGCATACAGATGGGGTATGCTGATAAACCATGTGTTAAAATTTTTCCTTCAGTCATTGGGATTTTATTTCAAGTTACCCTTCCTAAAGTTTCATTTCCATCTATCTTACAGAATTTGGTTGATCTTGCAGGCAGTGAAAGAGCTGCTCAAACAGGCGCTGAAGGTAATGGAAACTCATAAATGTTTTGGCCTAAGTGTTATCTTGTTCTTTTACAGAATAAAGAAGTGCTACCTTGCATTTTAGAAACTAATAAAGATAGTAAGTTTGTGACAAGACTCTTTAATGTAAAAAGCAGCTTCCATATCTAGCAAATTATCTATTTGGGGCTACTATAGCATCAATTAAAAAGCTAAAACTATGCAATTGGTAGGATTGTATAGCTACAAAGCTGAAAGTACCATGAAAACCATCTAAATTTTCATAATTAGTAAGGAAATTCAGGAAGGTAGTCAGGTACAAAATTAATATACGATATTAATAACTCCTAATACAAACAACAACCAGTTAGAATATTTAGTGTACAAAAAGACTCCATTTACAATAATGACTTAAAAGATCTAATATCTAGGAAAAAAAACTCAACACAAATTACACAAGACCAAAATAAAGAAAACTTTAAAACAGACCTAAAGGATGTAATCAAATACTTAAACAAATGGAAAAGCATACTTAGATGGGAAGTTTTAAGATCATGAAGATGTCAAACCTTTCTATGTTTATTTCCTACAGCCTGACACAGAGACACTCCTCTGAGCATGGTCTCTATTCACCAAAGCAGTGGATCCTCCAATCTGTAAACAAGAAATAAATGCTTGTTGTTTTAGCTGGCTTGTTAGAGCAATAGCTGAAAAATGCATCTGTAAAATAACAGCTGTTCAAAACTATTTGTTGTAGTACCTTTTATATATGTGGTATATTGAAAACGTACATGACCCTCAACAGGGTGCTGAGGAAATAAATTTCAATACGTCCATATAATGGAATTTTATGCTATAAAAGATAAAAACACCAGTGTTTACTGATATATTGCCAAGTGAAAAAAAACAAAGTGCAAATTAGCATATATAGTGTGCTACTCTTTGTGTAAACATGAAATAAACATATATGAACTTGAATTTCTAAAAATCTCTACAAGAGTCAACTAAGAAAAGTGATTTTCTCGTAGGGGGACAGGAACTGGTTGAATGGAGCATAGGAGAAAGAGCTTTTTCAGTGTACTTTTTTGGGGGGGTATATGACTCATGAGAGCATATTAGTTTAAAAGTAAGAACTTTGTTGTGCACCTAATAGGAATTAATTTGGTTGTAAGTCTATAGTTGCCTATATTTGGAGGTTTGGAAAAAATAGATTTGAACTGGGGAATTAGGCTCTTGGGGGAAATGAACTTTACTTCCCTCTGATTTTTTTTCTTAGCCATCATTTTCTTTTTGCTCTTTCTCTGAGGTGATGACCTTTCTGATTCACTTACTAGGTAGGAGGAACAGGGAAAGAGCTCAACCAGTGGTATTAAAGGTGGACTCAGATCTAATCCAAAGCACAGACTTTATCATCTAACCCTTTAATTTCTAGTTTCTCTTACAATTTATTGATAAATGAGTTAATCATCTAATACAGAGGTTAGTTTTCATTTTTATGTTTGCTTAATAAATGCAGGTGTGCGACTCAAGGAAGGCTGTAATATAAATCGCAGTTTATTTATTTTGGGACAAGTGATCAAGAAACTTAGCGATGGACAAGTTGGGTAAGTTTATTCCATTGTACATTTACCTATTAATGCTTACATTTTTCATTAGGTTGAGAATTTTAATACTTCAGTGACACTCAAACGTACTGATTTCTTCAATATGTTCAAAAGCTTTTGCGATTCTGTGAGCATGCTTAGCTTCTTAAATATATGACTACAACTTCCTAAATTTGCTTTCTATTTTAAATATTTTTTACTGAGTAGTTTTGATCTGCCTCATGTAACCTATAAAGAATTAATTTTTAAATTGTAGCTAATTTAAGGTTCTGCATTAAAAACCAACCACTTTTGTTAAATAAAAATTCTTACTGGTTTTTTTTTCCCCAAACTCCTTTCTCACTAAGTGGTTTCATAAATTACCGGGACAGTAAATTAACACGAATTCTCCAGAATTCTTTGGGAGGAAATGCAAAAACACGTATTATCTGCACAATTACTCCAGTGTCTTTTGATGAAACCCTTACTACTCTACAGGTAAGTTTGATTTTTATTTCAATATTCAGGCGAGAGTGAGAGGAGAGGGGAGTATAGATCCTCTTTAAGAAGAAAAAATTACCCACTAACATTAGGGTTTTTTGTTTTTTTTTTTTAATGACATACTATATCTATTACGATAAAATTGGTATACTGTCTACTAAATAGTATTCCTTAATTTTCCCAAATTTCAATTATTCATATCCCACCTCCACAGTTTTGCTGTATCCAACACTATTATACTGATACATTTCTCTTTAAGAAAGTCACTTTTTCTACTTTATTTATTGTAGAAGGAAACTTTATCTCAATCCCATGAATGAAAAACTAGTATCACTTTCAACAAATAGGTACCCCAAAAAACACATATATGTGTGTGTGTTTATAATAAAATAACTCTTAAATTCCTGCTAGCTCATTGTTGATTGCCTTTGCTCTGAGCCTAAGGCTTACATTTTCTGTTAAAAAAAAAAAAAAGGAAAAATGAGAAATGTCAATAGAATAGCCATCTCAGTCAAGGGTTCAATGGTATTTAATGGTCACCTTCATGGACCCACTTAAAGTTACATCTGATACACTCTAAGAAACATTGTTTTAAATAGCTATTGAGCACTGGCTCAAGGTAGTACGAAAGAAACAAAGATAGAAAGTACAGTCCCTGACTTCACAATTTATAGTCATATAGGGAAGGGGCACCTGGGTGGCTCAGCCAGTTGTGTCTGACTTTGGCTCAGGTCACAATCTCACAGCTCGTGAGTTCGAGCCATGCATCGGACTCTGTGCTGACAGCTCAGAGCCTGGAGCCTGCTTTGGATTCTGTGTCACCATCTCTCTCTGCACCTCCCTTGCTCGTGCTCTCTCTCTCTTTCAAAAATAAGTAAACATTAAAAAAAAAAATCTTAAAGTACTATAAGGAAGATAAGACCTGTCTTCCAACGTGATTGGCTTGGATTAATTAACTGTTAATAAATGGAATAGAGTTCAGAGGAAGGAGAGGTACTTTCCACTGGAAGCAAAGCTTCAGAGTAGAGGGAGCATTTGCTCTTGACTTTGAGAGGTGGGTGGGATTCTAGTAAGCCAGTATTTGTAGGTTCTCTGTTGGCATATGTCTTCAAGATATTTCCCTGACTCTTCTGAAGACTAGCAGCCAGGGTAAGTTACAAGGATAGAGAATACTCTCTGTTTCCAAAAGTATTAAGCCACCTGGGAAGAGGATTGATCTTTCTTTATAAAACGTAATTATAAGAAACCTAAATATTATTAATTTTTTTGATGTTGAACACTTAACACTCTTGTATTTTCCCCAGTTTGCCAGCACTGCCAAATATATGAAGAATACTCCTTATGTTAATGAGGTATCAAGTGATGAAGCTCTCCTGAAAAGATACAGAAAAGAAATAATGGATCTTAAAAAACAGTTAGAGGAGGTATGTATGAACCGACAGATTTAGGGGCGCCTGGGTGGCTCAGTCGGTTGAGCGTCCAACTCTTAATTTCAGCTCAGGTCATAATCTCACGATTCATGGAATTGAGCCCTGTGTCGGGCTCCATGCTGGCAGCACAGAGTCTGTTGGGATTCTCTCTCTCTCCCTCTCTCTGTCCCTCCCCTGCTCCTGTACTCTCTCTCTCAAAAGAAATAAATAAAAATTAAAAGAAAAAAAAGAATAGGGGCAGATTTAGAACTAAGAGCTGCCCAAATACCCAGAGATTCTTAACTCCTCAATAGCTGAGGTCTACAACCTAATTTTTTTTGGGGGGGGGAGGCTGTGTCATAAGTTTTTATGGTGCTAAAATAGAAACATAAAATTTTACCATTTTTTAAGTGTAAAATTCAGTGGTATTAGGTACATTAACAGTGTACTGATATAATCACTGCCACTATTTCCCAAACTTCTTCATTGTCCCAAACAGAAACTCTGTACCCATTAAATAATTACTTCCTATTTCTCCCCCATCCCTCTAGCCCCTGGTAACCTCTACTCTCATTTATGTCACTATGAATTTACCTATTCTAGATACCTCTGGCAAGTGGAATCATGCAGTATTTGCCCTTTTGTGTCTAGCTTATTTCACTTAGCAAAAGGCTTTCAAAGTTAATCCAAGTCATACCATGTATTAGAACTTAAGTCTTTTTTTATCCATTGTCTGGATATAACACATTTTGTTCATCCATTCACCTGTTCATGGACAGGTGGGTTGATTCTACCTTTTGGCTATTATGAATAATGCTGCTGTGAACACTGGTGTACAAGTATCTATTTCAGTACCTCTTGTCAGTTCTTTTGCACACATACCTAGTTATAGAATTGCTGCGTCAGATGGTAATTCTATGTTTAACATTTTGAGGAACAACCATACTTTTCCACAGAAGCTATACCATTTTGCACAACCAACACATTGCATGAGGTTTCGAATTTCTCCACACTTTCACCAATATTTGTTATTCATTTTACTTTTTTTATATAATAGCCATCCTAGTGAGTATAAAATGATAAGTGTGTTTAGTTTTATAAGAAACTGGGGGCGCCTGGGTGGCTTAGTCGGTTAAGCATTCGACTTCGACTCAGGTCACGATCTCACCACTCCCTAGTTCCAGCCCCACGTCCGGCTCTGTGCTGACAGCTCAGAGCCTGGAGCCTGCTTCAGATTCTGTCTCTCTCTCTCTCTCTCTCTCTCTCTCTCTCTCTCTGCCCCTCCCCTACTCACATTCTCTCTCTCTTTCTCTCCCTCCCTCCCTCCCTCCTTCCCTCCCTCTCTCTTAAAAATAAATAAACATTAAAATTTTTTTTTACAAATAAGAAACTGCCAAACTGTCTTCCAAAGTGGTTGCATTCCCACCAACAATAAGTAAGAGTTCCTGTTGCTCCACGTTGTTCAGCATCTGGTATTATCAGTGTTTTGGATTTTAGCCATTCTAATAGGTGTGTAGTGGGTATCTCGTTGTTTTAATTTGCAATTCCCTAGTGACATATGACATTGTCTTTTCATGTGTTTATTTACCATCTATATATCATCTATGGTGAGATGTCTGTTCAGATCTGTTGCCCATTTTTAAATTGGATTATTTTCTTATTGTTGGGTTTAAAAGTTCTTAGTGTTTTTTGGATACTAATCTCTTACCAAATATGTGTTTTGCAAATATTGTCTCCCAGTCTGTGGCTTGTTTCTTCATTTTCTGAACAGTGACTTTCACAGTGCGGGGGTTTTTTGTTTTATTTTGTTTTGTTTTTTTATGCAAACATGATTCAACTTTATTTTTGTTTACAGGAGACTCTTCCTTTTTGGATTTTTAATTTTAGTTGAATCCAAGTTAGTTAACATATAGTGTAATAATGGTTTCAGGAGTAGAATATAGGGATTCATCACTTACATATATCACACCATGCTCAACAAGAGCCCTCCTTAATGCCCATTACCTATTAACCCCCACCCACAACCCCTCCATCAACCCTCAGTTTGTTCTCTGTATTTAAGAGTCTCTTGGGGTGCCTGGGTGGCTCAGTCGGTTAAGCGTCCGACTTCGGCTCAGGTCATGATCTCACAGTCTGTGAGTTCGAGCCCTGCGTCAGGCTCTGTGCTGACAGCTCAGAGCCTGGAGCCTGCTTCACATTCTGTGTCTCCCTCTCTCTCTCTGCCCCTTCCCTGCTCATGCTCTGTCTCTCTCTGTCTCAAAACTAAATAAACATTTAAAAAAAAAAATTGTTTTAAGAGTCTCTTATGGCTTGCCTTCCTCTCTGTTTTTATCTTACTTTTCCTTCCCTCCCCTATGTTCATCTGTTTTGTTTCTTAAATTTAAGAAAAAGATTTATATGCTGTTGTAAACATTGGGGTGCATGTGCCCGTTGGAAACAGCACACCTGTATCCTTTGGATAAATTCCTAGTAGTACAACTGCTGGGCCATAGGGTAGCTGTATTTTTAATTTTTTGAGGAACCTCCATATTATTTTCCATAATGGCTACACTAGTTTGCATTCCCATCAGCAGTGCAAAAGTATTCCCCTTTCTCTGCATCCTCACCAACATCTGTTGTTTCCTGAGTTAATTTTAGCCAATCTGACAGGTGTGAAGTGATCTCTGATTGTAGTTTTGATTTGTATTTCCTTGATGATGAGTGATGTTGAGCATCTTTTCATGTGTCTCTTAGCCATCTGAATGTGTTCTTTGGAAAAGTCTCTGTTCATGTTTTTTGCCCATTTCTTCACTAGATTATTTGGTTTTTGGGTGTTGAGTTTGTTAAGTTCTTTATACCTTTTACAACCTAAATTTAAAACAGCTTTCAAGTAAGAAGAAATCAACTCATAAAAATTTTTCAATTTAATATAAACTGAAAAATTTGGTTTCTTGAAATTATTTTAGATTGTTTTTCATTTCCAAAAGGCAAAATTTGAGATGTTCAGATGGGCCAAGTAGAGACAGTCTCTCTAGGGGTGCCTGGGTGGCGCAGTCGGTTAAGCGTCTGACTTCAGCCAGGTCACGATCTCACGGTCCGTGAGTTCCAGCCCTGCGTCGGGCTCTGGGCTGATGGCTCAGAGCCTGGAGCCTGTTTCCGATTCTGTGTCTCCCTCTCTCTCTGCCCCTCCCCCGTTCATGCTCTGTCTCTCTCTGTCCCAAAAATAAATAAACGTTGAAAAAAAAAATTAAAAAAGAAAATCTAGCTATGTTTATTATTAATATAACTTAATATTATACTCTATAGGTTTCTTTAGAGACTCGAGCCCAGGCAATGGAAAAAGACCAATTAGCCCAACTTTTGGAAGAAAAAGATTTGCTTCAAAAAGTACAGATTGAGAAAATTCAGAACTTAACACGGATGCTGGTGACTTCTTCTTCCCTCACATCACAACAGGAATTAAAGGTAAAATTTAAAGGAATGACAACTCAGACTTAGTATATAGAGACTAGGATGGGTATTCCTATAGGTTTATAATATAGTTATGCATTTCTTATCCTTTGTTACAGTGTATTCAGGAAACCCAGAACATTTTGTGTGTTTGCCTTTGTGTCAGCAAAACCTAAAAGGTTCATTAAAAATACTGATCTCTGATCCTACATGTAGAGATCCTAATTCAAGAAATCTAGAGTAGGGGCACCTGGGTGGCTCAGTTGATCATCCAACTCTTGATTTCAGCCTAGGTCGTGATCCCAAGGTCATGGGATTGAGCCCCATGTCAGGCTCCATGCTGAGTATGAATGATTATGATTTTCTCTCTTTCTTCCTCTGCCCTTCTTCCCCCACTCACGCTTGCTCTCTCTGTAAAATTAAAAAAAAAAATGCACAAGAAGTCTGGAATATTGACAAGGAATCTATATTCAATATGCTTCTTAAGTAATTCTGATGAAGTTGATCAAGTGATTGGGAACCACAGGTGTCTAGGGTATATGGGAATATTTTCTCTTTAAAGAAAAAGAGTATCAATCTCAGGATAATTGATCTAGAATACAAATCAACATAGTGATCAAAATTCTGGTTTCCAGTATGTGTACTTTTTGTTTTTGGTAGAGTTAGGGGGTTTTTTTTGGTCAAGTAAGTATGTTTTGGCTATAATGGTATCATGGTTAAAAGGATGGCCTCTGGAGCTTGACTGCCTGGATTTGAATCCTGATGCTGTCAGTTCCTAACTCTTTACCTTGGGCAATTTCTTAAATACACTTTGTTGCATTTTCTTATTTGTGAGATATCTAGATCTCCACCTCATAGGAATGCTGGGAGAATTAAGTTAAATAATACATAGACTGTGCCTAACACTACACTTTCTACAGGGCAAATCCTCAATATATGTATGCTCTTAATTAAGGTAATTATTAATAGACATTATGCTCAAGTCACCATAGTTGGTATAAAGAAGACATTCGAAGAGCTATTTGTTGACAGACTGACGAGAAGAAAATAGTCCAATGGAAGGTATAAGGGAGAATATTTTAGGAAGAGATCTACATGTACAAAAGCTCGGAGTTGTGAAAACAACATAATATATTTCTTGGACTTAGAATGTTTTGGTGGCAGAGGAATTTTAAACCATAGTGAAGGATTTGAACACTGTGTTATGCTAAGGACAAGGAAAAGCCTTGTATGTAACACAGAACTGTGTTTTAGAAAGGTGTGTCTGCTTGTGTGCATCAGATTGGTTGGGACTGTACAAGGACTGTGACTCTGGAGATGCCAAAGATGTGGATAAATTGGAGAGCTGTGTGAGAGGTAGACTCAACAGGACTTTATGATTGTTTAGATGTGAGGGACAGGGATAGGGAGGTATCCAGAATAATTTGCAAACATTGCTAGGCTTGCTGGTGTTAAAGAACACTGGATGAAGCTCAGTGCAGCTGCTCAGTGTTTTATTTGGGCCATCTCCAGTTTAAGGTGTCATGCAGTTGAAAATCCAAATATATGAAATTCAAGTGAAATTTGTGAGGTGGAGATACCAATGTGGCCATTAGATACTACAGATCCAAAGTAAAGTCATGGGAATGGGTAGTCTTGTTCTGGGAGCATGTTGAAAATGAAAAGAATAGAGAGCCAAAGACCCCAAGGACAACTTTTCAATAAAGGCAAAAGAATCCCAAAGGGAGCCCAGGATTAGCTGTAGAGTTGAGTAAATCTGGTGAATGTGGTCTCTAAGAGAAGAAAATATTTCAGAGAGGTAGTGATTAGCAATGTCACATTCTGCTAAGAACTTAATTAAGATAAATATAGACATGGGGTACCTGGGTGGCTTAGTCGGTTAGGAGTCCGACTTCAGCTCAGGTCATGGTCTCGCAGTTCATGAGTTCGAGCCCCACATTGCTCACTGTGCTGACCTCTCAGAGCCTGGAGCCTGCTTTGGATTCTGTCTCTCTCTGTCTGTCTCTCTCTCTCTCTCTCTCTCTCTCTCTCTCTCTCTGTCTCTGCTCCTCCCTTGCTCATGCTCTCTCTCACTCTCAAAAATAAACAAACATTAAAATAACTAAAAAATAAGTAAAGGATAAATTTAGACAAAAACTTTTTGGATTTGGATATAAGAAGCTCATTTACAAAACAATTTGAGTTATGTGGTAGGAGTTGAAGCCACTTTACAGAGGGTTAAGATGGCCCCAAGGGATTGGATCATGAACACAGTAGAGAGGACTGGCTTCAGAAGAAAGGATCATTTATAGATCTATAGAAAGGATCTATAAATCCTAGTAATAGGATTGTAGAGAGGATCGAATAAGACAATACTTGGACCTAGCAGAGGGACCACAGAAAAATGGTAAATGTGAAATATGGAAAAACACAAGCAGAGGAGGAGAAACCAGCAAAGCATAGTGAGAGGTGAGGACAGCTAGCTGGGAGACAGAGGTATTCCTGGAAGGAGTAGATGGATGATGAGGAAGAATACAATGGTAGATAGAAGTAAGGACTGAAGAGTTTGTTTTAAAAAAAATCAAAAGCAAATACGGCACATGGATGGCTCAGTTGGTTGAGTGTTTGATTCTTGATTTTGACTCAGGTCGTGATCACAGAGTAGTGGGATCGAGCCCTGGGTCAGACTCCCTGCTAAGCGTGGAGCCTGCTTAAGAATCTCATTCTCTCTCTCTCTCTCTCTCTCAAAAAAAAAGGTACTAAAATAAAATAAAAGTAAACAAAGAGGCTTGAGCATTTATCAGGCTAATAGGAGGGAACTGGTAAAGATGACATGAACAGATAACCCAGGGAGCAGGGTCTCAAGGGAGAAAGGAACAATGAGGTCAGGAGTGCTGGTGGAGGCATTAGCTTTACTGAACTGGAAGAGAACTGGCATTGTGAAGGCCACGTGTGTGAGATTCATTCACTGCAGGAAATTCAAATGGACTGTCTGTCCCTTGTCAGTTAAAGCTGGAGACTCAGACGTGCTTTTGGTGGCTATGGTGTGGCCACAGCAACTTCCTTTCTGGAGAACACTGGATTACTTACTTAAAGGGTTGTGAGTCTGCCAAGTCCTTTCAATTAAGTCCCAGAAAAGTTTGTAAATAAACCTTCAAATAAAACATGACATTTGTTTCATCAAATTTTTTTATGGGTTAAACACTGATTTTAAAAGTTTGTGTTCTCACAGGATGTCCTAAGCCCAGTATGATATTACATAGGCTTAATAAGAATTCTACCAAGTTAGCGCTTTCCAAAAATGAAAACTAATTCCCTTGTTTTATGATGTTTGAGCCCAGATCTGTGCGAGGTAATTTTTATTTCTTTCTCCTTAGGCTAAAAGAAAACGAAGAGTCACTTGGTGTCTTGGCAAAATTAACAAAATGAAGGACTCAAATTATTTAAATGAATTTAATATGTCAGCAAATATAGCAAAAACACATAAGGCAGCTGTAACTATGATAGGAGAAATTGATGAATGTGAGTACTTTTTCAGCTGCTTTTAATTATAAAGGCATCCTTGTAGGGGCACCTGGGTGACTCAGTTGGTTGACTTGATTTCGGCCCAGGTCATGATCCCAGGGTTGTGAGATCGAGTCCCATGTCAGGCTCCACAATCAGCATGGAGCCTGCTTAGGATTCTCTATCTCACTCCCTCTGTCCTCTCCCCAACTTGCACTCCCTCTCTCTAAAGTAAAAAAAAAAAAAAAAATCAAAAACTCAAAATCAAAACAAAAAATTATCCCTGTAAAGAAAGACTTTCTTTATAATTCAGTTAATGTGGTGAACACATGTAATAAAATGTATGAATTTTAGATATGATTACAGATGTAGATAATGATAAAAAATTAGTAATTTTAAGACAGTGAACATTCTCTATTTTTTTCAAGACTTAAGAATAATGCACTGTAGTTGAAACACATGAGACATGTTTTTATTGTTTGGTTTTTGTTCTAACCATTATCCAATTAAATTAGTATCCATATAACATCTGCCTTAAACTTTTGTTTAATATTGCAAGGGGGACATTACACAGACATGTTTCAAAATCACGTCTCCAACATTATCAGTATTTTTAAAGGGCATTTTAAAACCTACTTACAATGATCAAATCTTAAATTCAGATTTTGTCCCTATAATGTAGGTAACTATATTTTATTAAGGATCTATATTATATTACTAACTCCAACCAGGGATCTTAATTCATACAATACTATAAATGATCATATCTGTTGTTAATATATTCTTGGCATTCATATTGTGAGCACATGTTACCTAATTGGATCTTATTATTACCTCTGATCAGATTTTCTTATAGTCTTTGACTTTTGAGAAATTTTATTAACACATTTATGGATAAATTTCTTTTTCTCCTTATTATAGCTATCTCTTCAGAATCTGATATTTTCAGTAACACTCTTGATCCATTAACAGAGGTAGAGTGGAATCCAGCAACAAAGCTACTAAGTCAGGTAATTTAAGTGTACTTCATAGACATACTCTCTTTTTAAAATTCATTTTTTATTAGTGTTCACTATTGTTGCTGCACATTATAAGCTCTGACTTAATTTCAGTAACAGTTTTGGTTCTAATTACTCGTAACACTGCTAGTTGCTAACTGGCATGCGGAGGAGGCGAAAAATTTCATAATGCAGGTGTATCGTATTAGGTGAACCTTTGCTTCTGGTTCTTTACCAGCAGATCTTGGTATTCGTGATTTTTTGTTTGTTTGTTTGTTGTTGTTGTTGGTTTTTGTTTTTACTTAGACCCATAAGGGTAAAAAGGCTGATTTTTAAAGTGTCAAAATTCTCAAGCATATAGTAGAAAAATGACACATCGGGGGTGGGGGGTAATATTGCCAAATAAGACTGAAAAATAAAAGTAAATATATTATATATGACCTTGTCAAAACTGTAAACAAGGAATACTATAGTAAATACTTCAGTGGGTAGAGAGTCCATGTTTACTTTCTAGGCTACTAATGTCCAAAGAAATACAGTATAGTTTTATAAATGTATTTCTTAAGGAAATTTCATTTTAGTTTTAGAGTGAAATTGCAGTGATGCTTGGGAATTCTTACCATTAGTTAACCATCATATTAGTTATAATTAGGTGAGTATTAGAGGTAAAGTGCTTTTATGTCCCTAAAACATCCTCTAGAAGTGTGTTATTGTTGGAAAATTCCTGGTGTTTATTTTTGTTTCTATAACTTACAGTTTATCTCTTTCTCATAATAGTATACAAAACAGGAACAGGCCTCTTTTGAGTATGGTAAAACATGGCACTAGAGGTCAATGAAGAATATTTCTGTTTCCCTTCCTAAATTCAGACCTGTCTGAGAAATAAAACAGGCATCAGATAGGTAGAGAATTAAATTATCAGCTTTATTACTAAGGAGCTTAAAAAACTGTGGTCAAATGAGGCACCTGGGTGGCTCAGTCGGTTAAGCAGCCAACTTCTGCTCAGGTCATGATCTTGTCTGTGAGTTCGAGCCCCGCATCGGCTCTGTGCTGACAGCTCAAAGCCTGGAGCCTGCTTTGGATCCTGTGTCTCCCTCTCTCTCTGACCCTCGCCCACTCATGCTCTGTATCACTCTGTGTCTCAAAAATAAATAAATGTTAAAAAAAAAATTAAAAAAAAAAACTGTGGTCAAATGGACTTCCCAGTATACACCCTACCTCCCCAAATTCCTCCTCCCGACAACTTTTCCAGTTAAATATTGGCAGAGCATTGTTTATAAAATGTTTTTTTCATACTCCTTTCAAAATTGCCTGCTCTTCTAAATTAGCTAGTTTACCGAAATTCACACCCTTTATTTTACCCGGGATGAAACTAGACCATTAGATATTGAAGAGGAATCTCCTCCTGAAGCCAAGACTACACTGTATGCTAACTAACTTGAGAATAAATAAAGTAAAATAAAAAAGAAAGATATTGAAGAAGAGAATGACCTAAGTTGCTACATGATATAAGGTTAAATTAATTATTTGAGTAATCTAAAAGAAACAATATATGATTTGAATTCTGACTGTCTTGAAAATCTGGGGCGCCTGGGTGGCGCAGTCGGTTAAGCGTCCGACTTCAGCCAGGTCACGATCTCACAGTCCGTGAGTTCGAGCCCCGCGTCAGGCTCTGGGCTGATGGCTCAGAGCCTGGAGCCTGTTTCCGATTCTGTGTCTCCCTCTCTCTCTGCCCCTCCCCCGTTCATGCTCTGTCTCTCTCTGTCCCAAAAAATAAATAAACGTTGAAAAAAAAAAAAATTGAAAAAAAAAAAAGAAAATCTGGTTTTGTTGCCAATAGGAAAACTTAGAAAGTGAGCTGAATTCACTTCGTGCCAACTATGATAATCTGATATTGGACTATGAACAATTGAGACGAGAAAATGAAGAAATGGAATTGAAATTAAAAGAAAAGAATGATTTGGATGAATTTGAGGCTCTAGAAAGAAAAGCGGAAAAAGATCAGGAGGTAAGAGATATGGAAACATGAAACTAAAACCACACTTTTCAAAGAAGTATCATTCTCTTAAAGATATTTCTAAGGTTGATATAGGAAGAATCCAACCATTTTCCATATGTAGACACAATTTAAAGAATTTAAGAAATAATTCATTTGTGTCACTTTTAAAATATTTAAAGCATATTTGTTTCACTTGTGCTCACGCACAAGAAGAAGGAAAAATTACAAATGTCTCTGGGATGGTTTGGTGCATCTGCCTATTGATGGATTTGTCTTGAATAAGTTATTTCATTGTAATTTGTATATTATCAGTTAATTGGTTGAGCACACGTAAATTCTGTCTATAGTATAACCATTTCCTACTGAGACCAATATGAATTTTACTATCTGACTGTTTTATGCATGGATACTACATATCCATGGACCCATGGATTTCATTTTCTTTAAAGTATATTCCTAAATATTTAGAACATTATTAGAATAGACAGGGAAGCTGATTATGCTCATGTCTTTTTCCATATAAGAGAGTTATTGTGAAAATTAGTGTAACTAAATACTAAATACTTGTAATGCAATTTTTAGAAATGAAACAGATCACTTAAATTTTCTAAATATATATTAGGCTCTATGTTAAGAGAACCTAATTCAGAAACCCTCAAACTTCAGGTACTTAGAAATTGTCCAAGAGATTTAAGATTTCTTAGAGCACACAGTCCTTAACTTAGAGTTCACAGACAGTATAAAATTATTTTGCAGAATTTTTGAAGGATATTCATTTTTCTGGAACAAGAATCCATAGCTGTTGTCAGACTATGAATCTGTCCCTACCCCACTCCCCTCTCCTGCCCTGCCAAATAAGAGCCAGTACTGGTGTAGTTAAATGATGAGTTAATTTGTAGCTACTTCTAAGATTTCTGTGTGGATAGCCCAAAGGAACACAATGCTCTTTCCTCAGTATCATTGTTTCATTTCTCACCCTCTTTTTTTTTTAATAAGGAAAAAAGAAACTGTGCCAAAACTATTATTTCCATTCTATATACAAATTAAAGTTAATCCTACATTTATGGGTATATATCCTAAGAGGAAGTCTATATGTTCTCCACAGGGTTTCATTTAACTTGGTTTAAAATTTACATTTTAACAAAACAAAATGTCATATATTGGCCCATGAATTTCAGTCTATAAAACAGAGTTTTATAAGGAAGGGGGTGGTGTAGTGTCATGGTTAAGACCATGGTCTCTGGAGCCAAACTGCTCAGATGCAAGGCTAACTGAGCATAAGTATAGCAATCATTTCTAAGTTTTTTACATGATTTCTGTATCCAATCAATAAAAACTGAAGCTCACTAAATTGTCTCACACACAAAAAGATTACAAAATAACACAGTATATGACTTTACTGTCACATCCCAATTTTTTTTTTCTTTTAACCACAGTCAAGGGGAGAAATAATCCTATTCTCTTCATCTTTACTTGGACACAATTAAAATTCTAGGTTCAATAAGGTAACCTAAAAGATTAAGTAATAAAAACTTAACTCTATTGAAAGCTCTTTTTGCAATGTCCATTCCATTTTAAACTAAGAATGTAAGTCTGAATATACAGTAAAATGTGTTCCCAAACCTCCATTTTGGGGAAAAGCTTAATGAAAACGGAATGAAAAGTCGAATAATGACCTTAAGACATGTGGGTATTGCCCTGGTTTGCCGATGGTCTTATAAATCACCAAGACTATGGATAATTTTCAAATGGGAATATAGAAATACAGAATGTTTAGTGATTTTAGAAGGAGTAAGTATTATGCTCAGGGAACAAAGTAAATTCCAACCCCTACCTGTTTTAACTTGATTAGTTTTAGAATTTTAACAAGTTAGAGGTTTTTGTCTTAAGTTAAATATTTTATTTCACCTGCTGCAAATTACAGTTGAAATCTATTTTTTTTTTTTTTTTATGTAGCAACCACTTGACTTTTGATCGTATCATATATACTTTCTCTTTATGCTCAGCATCTTAATACATCTTTGGGAAGTTACACTCAGAGCTTTACAAAAGTTACTCCATCTTTTTTCTGTTAATGAGAACCAATAGTTAAAGTGGTATTTCAAATGAAAGTGGGACAATTTTTCTTTCTAAATGTTTATTTCTAAAATGAAGGTAAATTTAGTTCTTCTTTATTGGTAAATGTGATTTTCTTGCACAAAATTTAGAAACAGGAAAGAAAAGATAAAAGATGGAGCCAATTTAAGTTATAACCAATATAAATGTCTAAAATTTTGCTGAACACTTGGTAGCCACTTAGCACATGTGGTGATTTTGAGCATTTGAAATGGAGCCAGTCTGAATTAAGTATGAAAAAAAAAAAAAGAATGTAAACTATTTCTTTAATTTTTTATATTGATTACATGAACAAATGATAGTATTTTGAATATTTTAGGTTAAAATACATTATCAAAATTAATTCTACCTGTTTCTTTCTTTAATGCAGCCAGTAGAAAATCTTAAAATACAAATTTGGCTCACACAATATTGTGGAGGCAATGTTGGAGGACGTTGACCTAAAATAAGAACATCAACACGAGCACTAGTCTGAGTCTAAATCTAGTTAGGACTGAATTAAACATTCATAAAATATTAAACAAGATGCCGTTTTCCTAAGTCCCTTACATTCTACTTGAATTTGCCTTTACTAATAAAGGATTCGTCGAATTATGAAGATTAAATAATTCTAAGGGAAAAAACGTTTATCTGTGGTAAATTGTCATTTACTTGCTTTGACACAAGAATACCTGAAACCCAAATATTTAATGCTCCAGATATTTTGTGAAAAGGAAACTTTAATAGAAATACTTGTATCTTTAAGTATTCTTTGTACTTTTAGACAGTTGAAAAATGTAAAGCAATAACACCATCTTTTTAGTATTTTCTGTAGACTGAATTGACAAGGTAATAATTCATAATCCCATACCTATTTCTGTAGCTTGGTGAACAGTAATATTATTATAAAAACACCACATGAAGCTACCTTAATCTAAACCTAAATTCTAAACCACAAAGTCTTAAAAAGTATGCCAGTATAAAATCTAAATGGATAATTTACAGGAAGAAAAAAAAAATCTTATAGAATAAACATATGTCTGTACTTAACTTCCCCAAAACAAAAATCTATTAAAAATGTATTTTAAAAAAAAAATGTATTTAAAAAAAATTTTTTTTAATGTTTATTTATTTTTGAGAGAGAGAGAGTGAGCATGAGTGAGGTAGGGGCAGAGAGAGAGGGAGACACAGAATCTGAAGCAGGCTCCAAACTGTCAGCACAAAGCCTGATGTGAGGCTTGAACCCACAAGCTGTGAGATCACGACCTGAGCCAAAGTCGGACACTTAACTGACTAAGCCACCCAGGTGCCCCTAAAAGTGTATCTTTTAAAAGTTTATTTCCTCCAAGGAATGCATACTAATTTGCTTTTAACTTTATTATAGCATTATTAACAGATGACATAACTATTAGTTGGGCCATGCTGAGGTTTTTTTCTTGTTGGCTTGTTTTATGGGGATTGGGAATTTTCTGTTGAGTTTGTCTCTGTTTAATGAGGTGCTCTGTACCGGTAGCTTGAACAATTGATTTCTCAGTCCCTTCTTACTGTTTGGTGATTCTGAAGTGGTGGATGAATGAATGCTATCTTTTGGGGTTGTTGGTTTTGTTTTTTTGGTTTTTTGTTTTTTTGGTGTTTTTTTTTTTTGGTTGTTTTTTTTTTTTTTGCTTTATTAACTATTGGTTTGCTCTGTTGCCTGTTCACATGCTCTTACAGATGCAACTAATTCATGAAATTTCCAACTTAAAGAATTTAGTTAAGCATGCAGAAGTATATAATCAGGATCTTGAGGTGAGCATTTATGTTGGTATTTCCATTGATAAAGAACTAGGCCTAAAATGTACATCATACATAATTGAACATGATTTCAGAAAATACAAGAATATATTTATTTTTTTCAATGTCAACTTTTTAAATTTTACTAACAGTGTAAACTGTTAAATATAAGTTCTTTTTAACCCCCTAAAATATAAATCCAATTAAATATGTTTCTCTTTTTTGTTTCACACTTCTTTTAGAATGAGCTAAGTTCAAAAGTAGAGTTGCTTAGAGAAAAGGAAGAACAGATTAAGAAGCTACAGAAATACATAGACTGTCAGAAGTCAGAAGATACAAAAATGGACTTGTCATACTCATCGGTAAAAATCAGGTTTATTTTATTGCGTTCTCATGTAGACATTTATAGCACATCATCATCATCATTGTTATAGCAAATGCTTATATTGAGCCTGCTGTGTGCCAGGCACTGTTGTAGTTGTTTTACATATAGTATTTTATTTAATATTGTCAACCGTATGAAACTGGGACTACTAGTATCATTGCCATTTTATGGATAAAGAATCATTCATAGAGAGTTGAAGATACCATTCTTTGAGTGAATATAGGTAAGTTAGGGATGAGCTTCCATTAAAAATCAATAATTTAAGAATTATTTTATTTTTTTAATTATTGTATGCACATGTATGTAGAACTGTATAGTTAGTATCTTCAGGTGAGCACTTATGTTGGTATTGATACATACCTGGAGCTATATGTATCACAAGTAATTGAGCATGGTTTTATAAATTTCATCAATTTGATTAATATTAATGCATGCTCATCATAATTTAAATAAGTATTTTATCAGTTTGTTATTTTTCAGAAACTGTAGCTCTAGATGATTTTAGTTGGTAGAAGATATGGCATTAAATAACATTGAATTTCGTAGTGAAATTGTTAATTTTCACTGTTTGCTTTCTATTCTTCTTGCTTTCAGTCCTCCTGATTACTTCAAGAAAGTATCAGTTTGATTCTAGTTTTTAACATTGTTTTTAAGAAAGCAGCAGTTTCTAGCTGGAACTTTGGTTTCCATTGTTCTTTTGTTTCCATTTGAATTTTTCAGAGTACTTTTTATTACCTTTTATTAGTACTCTTCTGTTACCTGTTACTAATGACAAATGATTTTTTATAAAAGTGATCTTACTGTTCTGGGGCCCTGGGAAGAAAGGCAGGTTTCATATAATCCTGGAGTGTCTGTTGATAGAGTATCAAGTAGAATTGGCCACTTTTTAATAATTATTATTTCTTTCTCTTTTTTCATCCAATTTATTCATTCATTCATTCATTCATTCATGGGTTAATATTCTGCCAAGACATGTGGTTGAATTTATGTAGGCTAAAGTCATGTTAAAATGCCACTTCTCTCTAAAAATTAGACCGTAGATCTTTTCATGTATTTATCATTCATTTGCATTTTCTCTTCTGGGAGTTGCCTATTCATCTTTTCTGTTTTTCCATTGAATTTTTTGTCTTTTTCTTTTCAATTTGTAATTTCATATCCTTAATTTTAACTACGAACTACTTTCATGTTTTAGAATAACTTAAAAATACATAGGAGATTTTAACAAGCTAGCTGAACAACAATTGTTAGCCTTTTTTAAACAATAACAAATTTTTTTTTAATGTTTATTTATTTTTGAGAGAGAGATAGAGAGACAGTGTGAGTGGGAAAGGGACAGAGAGAGAGGGACACACAGAATCTGAAGGAGGCTCCAGGCTCTGAGCTGTCAGCCCAGAGCTGGATGGCGGGGCTCGAACCCATGAACCGTGAGTTCATGACCTGAGCCAAAGTAGACGCATAACTGACTGAGCCACCCAGGCGCCCAACAATAACAAATTCTTAAATGTATACAATGCTTCTGTAATTTAGAAAAAGAGATCCAGAATTTTAAAAATATTTTTATTATGGAAAACATTATTTTTTTCATCTTTCCTAAATACACATTTGGTAATTATATTTCCACCATTTTTTATCAATTCAGAATAACATCTATGTACATGTTCTCTAAAGTGTTTTCCAACTCTCAGCTAGATTTCACTAAATTTTTTTGTCATGTGTACAGGAAAGCACTGAAGACCTAAAACAAATGAAACAGACTCTGCTTGATGCTGAAGGTGTAGCTCTTGATGCCAAGAGAGAATCCGCCTTTCTCAGAAGTGAAAATCTAGAGCTGAAAGAGAAAATGGTAAGTGACTCCTATAATATTTATTTAAAAAGTTATTACGATCAATACGTTTGTGTGAATTTACAATGTTTCTCTCAATAGAAAGAACTTGCAAATGCATATAAGCAAATGGAAAATGATATTCAGTTATATCAAAGCCAGTTGGAGGCAAAAAAGAAAATGCAAGTTGATCTGGAGAAAGAATTACAATCTTCTTTTAATGAAATAACAAAACTCACCTCCCTTATAGATGGCAAAGTTCCAAAAGGTATTTTATAATTTCAGACTACCTCTTTTTAGATCTTTCTCTAGAAACCTACCTAAAGAATTTTGTGGCTACATTCCAGTGATTAAAAATCTATTATTCTCTGCTCTGATTTTTTTAATAACCTAATAAGTTTCGGTGTCATTTGGTATCAATATTTATAAATGCTTCCATGGACTTCATTCAGATTCATAAAGGTTTAGGAGTTATTTTTCAAATAAATTGGACCTAATTTTTAAGGAGTAATTGAAGAACTATTAACAATTAGATTACCTGTTAACCAACATTGGCTCTTTCTTTAATAAATTTTATATAGTCTGGGTCAATAATTTCATTTTGCGTGTAATTTAGGTTGTCCCAATAACTGTAAGCTGCTTTATTTAATTTACCCAAAATGTCCTAGATTTGCTCTGTAATTTGGAACTGGAAAGAAAGATTACTGATCTGCAGAAAGAACTGAATAAAGAAGTTGAAGAAAATGAAGCTTTACGTAAAGAAGTTAATTTGCTGTCAGCATTGAAACCTTTACCCTCAGAATTAGAAATATTAAGGAAAGAGGTAAATACATTTTTAAGCAAATAACTCTTCTTCTGAAATAAAAACCTTTGTAAAAGCACTTTAAATATTTTGCCATAGTTTATTTTAAAGTAGCAGGCAAGAGACCGTAAACATTTAACTAACTTGTTAGGAACAGAAATGAATGTAGTTCCTCCTCTAATTTTTTTTATATTACTAGATGTAAAAATATATTTTCAGAGCATATTTAACAGTATACTTAGTATCATGAGCCATGTACAGCCATTTCTACAGCCCTCAAGTGTTGCATTTAAACAGAGTTCTGTGGGGGTGCCTGGCTGGCTCAGCCGGTAGAGTGTGCAATTCTTGATCTCATGGGGGTTGTGAGTTCGATCCCTATGTAGGGTGGAGATTACTTAAAAATAAAATCTTTTAAACAGAGTTCTGTGGCCCACCCTTTTTCTAAATCTTTTTTTTTTTCTTTCTTTCTTTTTTTTTTTTTTACTAGTCACTATGTTGAATAAAAGAAAGTAATGAGATACAAGGGAGGGCTCTGATACAGTTGAGATCAGTGTAAATCTTGCAGGCTAATGAACAATCCTGTAAACCATCTGCCAGCCTTTCTTTTCTCTCTGCCTTTCTAAAAGAAATAAAAAGTGACAAGTGTTTGAACACTATATGGCAGACATCATGCTAAAAAGCTCAGTCATCCTAAAAACTCTTTAAAGTAGGTGCTGGTTCTTAGCTCAAAAATAGTTATGGCACCAATAGTTGAGCTACATAGATGTGCCTCCTATCCTTAGTCTGTGATTGAAACAACTCTGCTGTGTTACCCCCATCCTTGGTCTCCAATTTAGCTCACCTCTCTTCTTCCCACCACTTCTACCTTACCTTTCACAGTGATTTTACTATTTATAAATTGGATATGGTTTATTTAAATAATAATTCAAATAAAGCTTGATTATTTATTCTTGGATTACGTTTTTAGAAATAAGAGTTGCATTCAAAGGCTTTAGATGAAAATATGTCAAATTCTTAGAAAAACCATAAAATGTCTGATACACCAAGAAGTTAGAAAATACTTTAGAATGAGAGATGATGAAATAAAGGCATGTTCTATTGAGTGTGCTCCAAACAATCCTTACTAGAGCCCAAAGAGATTAAAAAACAAAACTTTGAAGGTAAACAGGATAATACATTATTAAAGGAATGGTGACAATAAAAATGTTGCATTTCCTCAGTCAAATCTTTGCTTAATTTCAATGTCTTTTTTTTTTTTATAGGAATTTTTTTCCTTGAAACTGCTTCAGTAGATCATACATTGCTAACGTAACTAAATTTTATTTCCTCTCCGTAGATACATGATAAATCTGAAGAGCTCTATATAATAATATCGGAAAGAGACAAATTGTTTTCTGAAGTAGTTCAAAAGGAGAATAGAATTCAAGATTTACTTGAAGAAATAGAGAAAACTAAAAATGACCTAGCAACTACCCAGATGAATTATAAAAGCACTGATCAAGAATTCCAAGATTTAAAAAATCATCTTGAATTTGAGCAAAAGTATAAGATGGTCCTTGAGGAGAATGCAAGAAGGAATCAGGAAATAGGAAATCTCTCTAAACAAGCTCAAAAACTTGGTTTAAGTTCTCATGCTTTGAGCACAGAGGTTGGTACAAGACACCCTCTAGGGAAGCGATCTTTAGTATTCTGGGGTCTGGCCTCCATATATGTCCCATAGACTGTTCTGCTTTTCACATTTTATTTTTCTTATTTTAAAGCTTTGTCCGAAAACCAAAGAACTTCAGCAGAAAGCAACCGAGAGTCAAGAAGTGTTAAATGAAATGGAAGAGCTAAAGGAACAATTAGAAAGTAGAGATTCTAGGCTGCAAACTGTAGAAAAGGAAAAAGCACTGATTGCTGAGCAACTGCAGCAAACCTTGGTGGAAATAAAAACCTTAACCCAAGAAAGGGATGACCTAAAACAACTCCAGGAGAGCCTGCAAATTGAGAGGGACCAACTAAAAAGTGACATTCAGGATACTGTAAACATGGTAAGACTTTGACTGATTAGATGCTGAAAACCGAGAGCCTCTGTGAAAACATAGGAGCTGTCACTTACTATTCATGATCACGTAGTCCCTGCAAAATCACTTCCATCGTTTCTTATTATTCTAACAGAAATTGTTCTGTGTTTCTCTGACAAAGAATATAGACACCCAGGAACAATTACGAAATGCTCTTGAGTCTTTGAAACAACACCAAGAAACAATCAACACACTAAAAATGAGAATTTCTGAGGAAACTTCCAGGAATTTGCATACGGAGGAAAACTTAGGAGGAACTAAAGATGAATTCCAGGAAAAGGTAAATGATATTTCTGTCCAAAGTTTTCATACTTGTGTAGAAGAGCTTTCTCTTTAACCTCAAACACATAAATACATAATGATAATCTCAATCTTGTCTATTATTCACAGAGCTAATAACTAATGATAATTTACAAGCATAACCCTAATGTGTTTGAAATAACTTCAGATATAACTGCTTACAGTCAATTTGGAAAAAAAAGGCAAAAATTAGTTCAGACTTTGAGGTGACATTTCCTGAGCCTCAATGTATTTTAAAATCTTTAAAAACCCCTCTGAATTCTAAGAATGTAAGAAAGATTGCTTATTATTATGTCTAAAATACTTGTTTTATGTCAGATTTTGTATATTAAACTTGGTTAGAGTTCTATAAAATCAATGTTTATGTTGTAGTTTTGCCTGTTTCTAGGGCTTGTGCTATAATTGTACTATTAGGTGCTTAAATCTCACCTTGATTTATTCTAGGTAGTATGGTTCATTTTGTCCTGATACCTTAGGAGTTAACTGGTTATTTAATTATATACAAGAAGGGCTAGGAGATGCTAATGATAATTTTTTTTTAAGGGGAGGTATATTAGTCTACTAGACTGCCACCACAGAATAGCATAGACTGGGTAGCTAAAACTTTTAACAGAAATTTACTTTCTCCCATTTGTGGAGGCTAAAAGTCCAAGACTAAGGTGCTAGAAACTTTGGTTTGTGGTAAGTCTTCTCTTCTCTGTATGCAGATGGCACCTTCCTTCTGTGTCTTCTCATGGCCTTTCTCCTATTCTTGAGCTGAGAAAGAGAGCACTAGTGTTTCTTTCTCTTAAAAGGACACCAGTTCTACGGGATTAGGGCCTCAGTCGTTTGTTTGTTTTTTATGTTTATTTATTTTGAGAGAGGGAGGGAGAGACAGAGCATGAGCAGGGGAGGGGCAGACAGAGAAGGAGACACAGAATCCAAAGCAGGCTCCAGGCTCTGAGCTGTTAGCACAGAGCCCTATGTGGGACTTGAACCCACGAGCTATGAGATCATGACCTGAGCTGAAGTTAGATGCTTAACTGACTGAGCCACCCAGGCGCCCCAGGGCCTAAGTTTTATAACCTCATTTAACCTTAATAAACCTCCTTAAAGGCTCTATCTTCACATACAGTCACATTGGAGGTTAGGGCTTCAACATAGGAATTTGGGGACAACACATTTGAATCCGTAACAGGGGATTGCCTATAGTTTTATACAATGGATTCATTTACTATACATTTCTACTCTCAGAAATGCCTTTGATATATATTATCAACAGAATTTTTTATACTGTCTTTCATTCTTATTGCACTACTATTTAAACCAGACTGTTTACAACTAGGAATTGAAAACATTCATCAATAAGAGACTGGTGAAATAATCTTTCATACATTCATAGCTCAGAATAGTATACACATATATATGTACATATATACATAAAACTGGGTTTTATACAGTTATATAATTTTTTAAACTACATTTTATACGCAAGAAAAATCACCAGATTGGACATATTACTAAATAAAAAAAAATACTACTTCAGAATAATTCAGTAAGCCCCAACTTATGTAAATAAATCTTTGTATAGATTTATATACTATTACTCTATATAATGAGCTTTTTTTTCCCATTTACCCCAGCATACAGTATTCTTGCCTTGGAAAAGCTTTCCCTCTCTCTCTGTATGCTTCAGTTCTTCTCTCCTAGGAAAGCATTTTTGTTTTATATCTTATGTTCTCAGCTTCTCTATAGTTTGGATTAACCAAATGGGCCAAAGGCATTTGACCTTGATTTGAAATTTATAACTTTTATTTTCATTAGGGGAAGACTTTTTTGAAAAGATTTTTAAAAATAAGATACAACAATCAATACCTGCTTTTAGACAAATGCAAATCTGTAATCATGTGGCCCCATGAGAAGGGGCAATAGCAGAGGAGTGAGGGAAAGGGAGAGTTGTATTTACTGGAGAGTTATATTTAGCTGCTCTGTGTTCCTAAGTTTATGCTGGAATCATCTATGTTGATAAAAAGGTCTGACTGGGGCTCTTTTGTTTCTTGGGGTTTCTCAAATATGGGATGGAAGGCTAAGATCAGCTTCTTCTGTTATCGTGTTCATGTTAGAATCCCATGTGGACCCCTCTGTTCATCTGGACCCCAGAGGGCTGCATTAGTAGGTCTATAATGAATCCGCTTCGAGTGCCCGCTTTCAATCTCGCTTCATATTTCTCTCTCTAGAAATGCAGCTTCTCTCATGTGTTCCAACAGAAATTTAAAACAATGATTAGTAAGCTTATCTCAAAGCACACAATTCTTTTTCTTTATTTAATAATAAGATCTGTGGTAGCTGAAATACTTGCTAGGTTGAATTCCATTCTGAAATGTACCTTGGGTATTATTACATAGTTTGTCTCAGCCTGCTCTGTTTTTGTGTACATTCCTATACTTAGGGTGTACAGATGCAAGATTCTGAATTAGGGTATCTGACAAGCTAGTCCCAATGACTATGTATTCCTTACCTTAATTTCTCATGTAGTTAGCTCTGTGGTTACCATTGTCAGAAACTCATGCATGTTACCAACAATAAAAAAAATAGTTAAGTAAAATAGGTTCTGTCCATACCCACTCTAGAATATTGAGCAACTACTAAAAGTTATAGTTTGAAGATTATGTGACAGCATGGGAAAAATGCCTGTGATCTAAGTGGGGAAAAGCAAAAGCAAAAATGAATAATTCTGTGTGTGTGTGTGTGTATAGATGTGTGTGCGTGTGTGTTTATATATATATAAATATATATATATATATATATATAAATCATAATTACTATGTTCAAATATATTTTTTCATGGACAAACTCTGAAAGGAAATATTCTAGAATTTTTTTTTTGGACATATTCTGGAAATCTAATAGTGGGTTCTGTGAAGCTGGTGACATGGGTAATTTTTTTCTCTTCATTTTTCAATTTTTTGTTAATTGTAGATTATTATATAACTTTTTAAAACATATGTGGCCAATATGGAGCTGTATTTATTTCCTGGTCGTATAAGGTTATATAGTGATACCCTCATTTCATACCAGTGATTGTAATGTCAGTCTTTGTCTCCCTTTATCAAGGGGTACACATATTAAGTTACGTTTGCTTAAGATCTATTTATGGGTAAATGAATGTGTATAACATGCTTTTCTTAACCAATATATGAAAGTATATATTTTGAAAAGGTGGTTTATACTATTAGAATATGAAGTCTGTTTCTTACAAGATTAATTTGTCCTCTCATTTGATGAAACTCCAGCCTTTTGGGAGTATGACTGCTTCCGAAAATTATCATTTGTTGGGAGTGGAAGATATGGAGTCATTTCCAGATTTTGATGGAAAGAAAGTGGTAGAGTTCAAGGTGGCTTACTCTTTCATAAAATTAAGTTAACCTATCATCATACATGAAGATAATTATTAATTATCCATAACTGTCCAGGTAGTTCTTAGCCATGAACAAGAGTATGTACAAGGACACAGAGTCTGAAGCCAAACCTCTTAGATTCAAAACCTGAGTGACCTTGGGCAAGTGACCTGTCATCCTCTCTGGAATTCAAGTTTCCTGTCTGTCAAATGAAAATAATACCAGTACCTACCTTATAAGGTTATAGTTAAGATTAAATGTGTCAAAATACGAAAATAGTGCCTGGTAAGTAATAAGTAATACTAGCTTTGGCAATTTTTATTATTATTCAAATTGTTATTAACTGAGAAATTCTTCTTTAATCTATTCATATTTTAGATGGCTGACACAGATAAAAAACAGAATTTGAAAGCCAAAAATACTCAAGCACTGATTGCAAATGTTGAAGATAATGAGCTAACTGAGCAACAGAGAAAGATACTTTCTTTAATACAGGAGAAAAATGAACTGCAACAAATGTTAGAGAGTATTACAGCAGAAAAGGAACAATTGAAGACTGACCTAAGGGAAAATATTGAAATGGTAAGATGTAGCACTGTACATTTAACAATATGTTTTTGTCTTTGCATGTTTTCGGTTTTTATAATTGTACTGAGGCATAATTTACATGCAGTAAATGTATCTGATACAAGCGCACAGTCTGATGACTTTTGACAAATGTCTACCTATATTCCCTCCACCCCAGTCAAGGTACAAGGTGTTTCCCTTACCCTGCAAGGTTCTCTCACATCTCATCCCAGTCAGTCCTACTCTTACTCTCTACCGCATATAGTCACCATCCTGATGGTTTTTCACCTCAGATCACTTTTTCTCTTCTAGAACTTCATACAAATAGAATCATATAGCATGTACTCTTTTGTGCCTTTTTTACACTCCTTTTTCAGTGCTGGATACACTCCATGTATGAATAGGCCACACAATTTGTTTAGCCTTTCTCCTATGTATGGAAATTTGAGTTATCTCTACTATTTAGCTATTGTGAGTGAAGCTGTTATAAACATTCTTACATAAATCTTTTTATGATCATTTTTTTTAATTTCTCTAGGGTAAGTATCTAAATGGAATAGCTGAGTCATTCAGCTATTCCAGCTATTCAGCTAAATGGAATAGCTGAGTCATATGAGAATAAATTCTCATATATTTAACTTAATGAGAATTCACTAGACTGATTTCCAAAGTAGTGGTACCATTTCACATGCCCATCAGCGAATTGAGAGAAGTCTGATGGCTCCACATCTTCATCAATGGTTCACATTACTGGTGTTTTTAATTTTAGCCATTCAATTGGGTATGTACTTCATTGTTTTAATTTGCCTTTCCCTAATGACTAAGAACATTGATCACCTTTTCATATGCTTGTTGGTCATTGCATATCTTTCTATAAATTATGTTCTCTCAGTGATATGTTATAGGTTGTAGTATACATGTCTTGTCCATATTTTGTTAAATCTTTTTCCTAAATGTTTCTCTTTTATTAATTTTGTCTTAATTTTTAAACTTCATTTTTAATTATTAATGTTTGCTGTATTGTCATATCTACTTTAGTTTTGTTTCTTCATTTAGGGTTAATATAGTATATATAGATTGAAATTAACATTTTTAGAAGTTTGCTGTGGGTTGTAGGAGAACCTGAACTTTTGTGTAATTTTCCATATTTCTTGGGATTGTCTGGTCAAAAGAGCTGAGTATAAATAAGAATGCAGATAAAAATCATGGTCTCAAGCTTGTAATGTTTTTGTGGCCATGATACTTGAGAATGCCACTGTATAAGCTCATAACTAGGATTAGCCCAAGTCATGCTAGCAAAGGATGGCTGCCATTTTGAACTTGGCTGTTAACTGGTGCACCAAACCAAAGCCATTCATTCTAGCATTTGAAAAGCCTGTAACTGTAGTCTCAGAATCAGTCCATGAAAGCTTAGAAACAGTCTCCTTTGGTTTAAGGCTAGAAAATGAGCCTTAAACCATTCTATCTTCTCAAGATAGAATACTAAATCTAGTTCTAATTCTCATGATAAGAATATAAGTAGAGCAATAAAGAAAACGTGTAAAGGGTGTCTGACTGGCGCAGTCAGTGGAACCCTGATCCCAGGGTTGTGATTCCAACCCCCACTTTGGCATGGAGCCTACTTGAAAGAAAGAAAGAAAGAAAGAAAGAAAGAAAGAAAGAAAGAAAGAAAGAAAAAGAAACAGCATAAAAAAGCATATGCTTGACATCCTATATGATTAAATTAAAGACTGACTTTCTTTGTAAGATAGTTTTTTCCAATAGAGTTTGCATAATTTCTTCATTTTTAGGCTGAGGTAAATGCTGATTTTTACTTGATTTGATTTTATAAAAATAAGCTAATATTATTTATTTTAATCTCAACTTTAAAAAAAAAATCTAGATGATTGAAAACCAAGAAGAATTAAGAATTCTTGGAGGTGAACTTAAAAGGCAACAAGAGATAATTACACAAGAAAAGAACCATACCATGAAGAAAGAGGAAGAGCTTTCTAGGACCTGTGAGAAATTAGCAGAAGTTGAAGAAAAGCTAAAGGAAAAGGTGAATCTTTAAAGTTACCTTCCTGGCCATATTAGATTTCCGACTGAACTTTTTTTTTTTTGTTTGTTTATTTTTTTATTTTGAGAGACAGCACACAAGCAGGGAAGGGGCAGAAAGAGAGGGGAGAGAGAGAGAATCCCAAGAAGGCTCAGCACTGAGCCCGATGCAGGAACTTGAACCCACAAACCGTGAGATCATGACCTGAGCTGAAATCAAGAGTAAGACCTTCAACCAACTGAGCCACCAGCCACCCCTAAACTTCTTCTTCTTTTTTTTTTTTTTTTTTAATAAATTTTGATGGCAGTAGAGCTGAATTCTAGAAATAACATGTATCTCCCAAATGAGCAGATTTTAATGCTAATATCGTGGACAGTTTCAACTCACACCTAGATCTTAACCAACATCCTTTGTGAGGATATATTATCCTGGAGTCTTCAGATGAGAGAGAAAGCCTTAATTCATCTAAACTAATCATGGAATGTATTCATTCATAAGAAACTTATTGGGAAGTACCATAGGCCAGGTGTTGTTCTGGGTGCTTGAGATACATTAATCAATAACACAAAGATTCTGCCTTTATAAAAATATGGTAGTCATTCTCTAAAATGTAAGATATGTGACTGTTACCATCTCTTAGATGTTTACAATTTCCTGAGTCACTTCTTTTATAGAAGTAAGGTGCTGTTGTACTATTTGTATAAGAGATGAGAATCTAGTAATAATTGTACTGCCCAAGTAATTCTAAAATTCACCCATTGAGATCTTTCTATTTTTCTAAGGCCTATGCCACATACATTATAAATAATATATTGTGATTTCCATTGTATTTCTGTGGAGTGTTTTTTTTTCCTATGTATTCTCTTAATTCTCCTCCTTTTCACAGTAACCCAATTAATTTGTTAGAACCTGATGTCTGTTTCATACTCACCCTAAAGAAGTGAAATTTATAGACTTATGTAAAAGTTAATGCCTCAGTGTCTTTTATGGGCCACCTGTAAGGACCTTTTTTGAAATAAAAATAGATGATCCAAAAAGGTTTTAAGAGATGAGGAATTATAGTTATTTGGCAGGTATACCTGCATATTTAGTCTCTTTTCAAGTTTTTCTCATTTTCACTTTACCTCTTTGATTAACCTCGTGACAATATATTAGTTTCCTAGAACTTCTGTATCAAATTACCATAAACTTGGTGGCTAAAAAACAACAGAAATTTCTTGTCACATTTCTGGATCCTAGAAGTCCAAAATCAAGTTGCTGGTAATACCATGCTCCTCTTGAAAGCTCTAGGGTAGAATCTTTTCCTTCCTCTAACTATCCTTAGCTCCCAGCTGCCTTGGTGTCCAAGGCTTATAGCTGTATCAGTCTTAACTCTGCCTCCATCTTCACAGGAGTTTCTCTGTGTCTCTGTGTGTCCTTTTTTGCCTCTTATAAGGACACTGTCATTGCATTTAGGGCCCACCCTAATCCAGTAGAATTTCTTTTCATACTTTAATTATATCTGCAAAAACCGTATTTCCAAATAAGGTCATATTCTGAAGTTCTGAATATACTTGAAGTTTGGGTAGGACACTATTCAACCCACTATAGACACTGTGCCTAGAAGGTTACTCTACTTTCAAAGCTGTGTACTATAATAATCATTTTGGTTTGGCAAAATATATTTTACATAAGAATTTTAAGGGAACATAAGCAAAATGATAATTAAAAATTTTATTTCTCAAGAGCCAACAACTACAAGAAAAACAGCTAAAGCTTCTTAGTGTACAAGAAGAGATGAGTGAGATGCAGAAAAAGATGAGTGAAATGGAGAATGTAAAGAATGGATTAAGAAGCCAAGAATTAACATTGGAACATATGGAAATGGAGAGGCTAGAATTGGCTCAGAAGCTCCATGAAAATTATGAGGAACTGAAATCCATAACCAAGGAAAGAAATGATCTAAAAGAATTACAGGAATCATTTGACATAGAGAGAGAGAAACTTCAAGATTACATAAGAGAACTCGAAGTTACGGTAAGTTATACCCTTTTCTTTCATCTAGTAAATGTTTCTTTAAAACCGAGCCAGTTGGAGAAGGGAGAGGCAATGTTGATGTTGTTATAATATTCTTTAAATTCCACTTGCTAATTAAGGGTCTAGAAACAAAAGAAGAACTAAAAATTGCTCATGTGCATCTCAAAGAACAACAAGAAACTATTGATGAACTAAGAAGAAACATTTCTGAGAAGACAGCTCAGATGATAAATATTCAGAATGACTTAGAAAAATCCAATACTGAATTACAAGAAAAGGTTTGTCTCTTCTTCTTTCTCTCTTTTGTCCCTTCCTTTTTGTTTTTTTTTTTGGG